GAAAGAGTGAAATACTAAAAATATGGGTACAACAAGCAACCTGTTTTTCCGTTTTCTTGGTTTCTTTGGCCCTCTTTGCTTCATATCATTTTTCTACTTGCTTTGCTTAAAACTTGGGTTAAAAGGAGGAAAATTTTAAAATAAGGCTATGGAAAGCAAGCTTTTTTCTGTTTTTCTTGTGTTTCCTACCCCATTACTTCATTCATAATGATTTGTGGGTTTTTTTTTTTGGCCCATTCTCATTTCTGTTATTTATTGTCTTGGATTTTATTATTTATTTTTTAAATTTGAGACAGTCATGTTTTTTTTCTTTTCTGCTACATAGTTCGGTTTGACCTCAGTAGGAGAACCTATTTCAATGTAGTGATTAGCCAGGGTTGTGGGTTGAACAGCGAGAAATACTAAAGTTAAGACTTCAAGAAGCAAGTTTTATCCCTTTTCTTGTGTTTCTTGACCACTTTGCTTCAGATTGATTTGTGGGGTTTTTCTTTTGTGCATACTCTCCGTTTCTTGTTTTTGTTGTTTTGGATTTTTAGTTTTAGACAGTTTTTGTGTTTCGGTTTTGGGTTTACTTTTAATGAGTTAATACTTGATATGGTTGTTTGTGCATATTGATTAATATTGATTGTGGTTAACACTTCAGGGCTTATGACTGATGAGTTGAGAAGCTTTTTGGAGCTTAATCTCCCGAAGGTTAAGGAAGGTAAAAAGCCAAAGTTCAGTTTGGGATTGGCTGAACCCAAGCTTGGATCAAATGTTCTTGAAGCGACCAAGATTCCTTGCCAAAGTAATGAGTTTGTTCTTGAGTTGCTTCGTGGTGTGCGCTTGCATTTTGATAAGTTTATTAAGGACCTAAAGGTTTGGATTCTCTGATATTAGTTTTTGAAAGCTATTGTGACTTGTAGTTGTTGCTTTTATCAATGCAGATACTCTTGTAGTTGAGATACTAGCTGCTTCTCTAACAGAGTTATTAAATTCTGTAATCTTCCCTTGTTCCTACTTGTTTGTAGACTGGGGACTTGGAGAAAGCCCAACTTGGTCTTGGACACAGTTACAGCAGGGCAAAGGTCAAGTTCAATGTGAACCGAGTTGACAATATGGTGATTCAAGCCATCTTTCTCTTGGATACTCTCGACAAGGATGTTAATTCCTTCTCTATGAGAGTTAGGTATGGTTGTGGTAATCATACCAGTATATCTTTTGAAGTCCGTGCTTTAAAAATTGAGTTTGATTAGTATATTCTTCGTTTAGTTTAGTTTATCAAGTTAGTTAACCTGTTTGCATGTTCTCTTAGTTCTTGATAACACTCATGAGGCTCAATAATTTGTAAAGCTTTATGTTTGGTGATAATCTATGGCTCTCTTTCTTTAAGAATAATAATAAAGTTTATGCTCGTTTCTTGTGTTTATTGTTGCCACCTTTCTACAGAGAATGGTATTCCTGGCATTTTCCTGAACTGGCGAAGATTGTCCACGACAACTATCTGTATGCCAGAGTCGCCAAGTTTATTGAGGACAAAGCAAAGCTGGCTGAAGACAAGATCCTTGAATTAACTGAAATAGTTGGAGATGAAGATAAGGCCAAGGAGATTGTGGAAGCTGCCAAGGCATCTATGGGTAAAGATGCTTCTGATAGCTTGAAAGCATGCATTCTCACGTACTTGCTCATTTATTAACGGATATTAATATAAGTTTTATTCCTTTGTCTCCAGGGCAAGATTTATCTCCAATTGACTTGATTAATGTCCACCAATTCGCACAGAGGGTAATGGAGCTGTCTGATTACAGGAGAAAACTATATGATTATCTAGTTACTAAAATGAATGACATTGCACCCAATTTGGCTTCCTTAATTGGTGAAGTTGTCGGAGCTCGTCTGATTTCCCACGCTGGTAGTCTTACAAATTTGGCAAAGTGCCCTTCTTCCACCCTCCAAATACTTGGTGCGGAGAAGGCACTCTTTAGGTGCTTTCCTTGAACTGCTAGTCAATCCATTAGAAAGTTCGCATTTCCAATTAGAAGTACTCCTTTAATATCAGCTCTCCATATTTACCAGCATTGTTTTCTTTTCAGGGCATTGAAAACGAAGGGAAACACACCCAAGTATGGACTTATATTCCATTCGTCTTTTATTGGACGAGCTTCTGCCCGTAACAAGGGTCGAATGGCTCGGTATCTCGCAAACAAGTGTTCTATTGCTTCTCGCATTGACTGTTTTGCCGGTAAAACTTTCTACCTCTCTGAAAAGAACTGTGCGGGGGCGCTATTTCATCCTTTGCTTGGAGTATAGGTCGTTCATGTTAAAAGTAATATTGTTGCATCCATCTCTAATACAGAAAATGGTACAACTGCATTTGGAGAGAAGCTTCGTGAACAAGTTGAGGAGCGCCTAGACTTTTACGACAAGGGGGTTGCACCAAGGAAAAACATCGATGTGATGAAAGCTGCTATCGAAAGTGCTCAAGGAAAAGGTGTGCAAAGAAACTTATAAAGAAGGTTTTAGCTGGTTGGATTTAATTTTACAGTCCAGGCTGTTGTTTGGAGGCTGACCTGCCCACTATAATTTGGACTGCTTCTTGTTGGGACTCATCGTGTTATATTTCAATTAGCATTTAGAATCTTTATCCCTTTACATTACCCAATCACATAAATTTGTAAGTTGTATTTACTATATTACTTTTACAGATGCAGAAATGGAAACAGAGGAAGTGCCTACTGAAAAGAAAAGCAAGAAGAAGAAATCCAAAGCTGCGGCCACCGAGGATGGTGATGCCATGGCTGTTGATGAACCTGCTGTCGTTACAAATGGGGAGGCTGATGATGCTAAATCGGAGAAGAAGAAGAAGGACAAGAGAAAAATTGACAGTGATGTTGAGGAGCAAGAGCATGCGAAGGGTGTAGACGCCGAGGATGGAGCAGCCAAAAAGAAGAAAAAGAAGAAGAGCAAGAGTGAAGATGGAGAAGATTTGCAGGCTGATGGCGATGCCAAGAAGAAAAAGAAGAAAAAGTCCAAAAGTGAAGAATGAGTAATTTTCATAAACGTTGTTGCTGATGATGGGTGATTAGTGTTCAAGACATATGTATCTATCTAGGCTATGGCTTTATTATGTCTAGATGAACTCTTTAGTAACTTAGGTGATTCACTATCTTAATATCAGCCTTTTTTTGTAAACGTTAGTATAATTTCAGTTTTGGCTTCTAAAGCTTGGACAAAGATTACTAGAGGACAAACTATCATTGCTCCGGTCACTTTTGTTTATTTATGATTTTTATGGAATGACATTTGTTTATCACATCATTTCTGGATGAGTGAATGACTAGTTCTTCTGGAATGCAAGTTTATCCTTCGACTTTTTTTTTTAGAGCGTAACGAAATAATAAAAAAAGTTTATGGATGAAGTAATCGGAGTGACAAACTACTGAAATAATAAAAAAAGTTTATGGATGAAATAATCGGAGTGACAAATCGGAAACTGGATTGGTGAAAATCTGCCATTCTTGTTTCCACAAATATATCTGTTTTTTTTTTTTTCCTCCACTAGTAAAAGTTTTATTAGTGAGTTCTACGGAATGAGAGGTAGAGAGCATCCTCTATTCGTAGTGGTGTATAACACTATGGTGCATTTTAAGTATTTTTTTTAAATCTTTTTAGTACTAGCTCGTCTAGCATGTTTTATTTTTAGTGGTGTATAACACTGATGGTGTCTCTAAATATTTTTTTAAAAATCTTTCTAGTACTAGCTCGTCCCAAAAAAGGGTATGAAATCCTACACAATTGACAATTGACGCAACTCGTTCTCATACTTGACAGTTGATGCTAGCTTTATGGTTATGTTTTCTTGGTTCTTGTTTGGCCATTTTTTTCCCTTTCTTTTTTGTGCTTATGTTGAATTGTCAGATGCTAATCAATATCCAATTCAAAACAAGTGTATTTTCCCCCTCGTGGTTGCATACATTTTAAATGTAAGTTCAGCAAGTTGAATAAAGAAATGAAACATTTTATCGAGGACTTGCACAATTGAGCGGCTCAGAAGCCTCCATACTTGTCTCCATAGTCCATATGCTGTGTAGTTCATAAATTACAGGAGTTAAATTTTGTAACTTGCTTCTTACCTTTTTTTAAAAAAAATTTAAATCAATTCCATTTTCAAGTTTTCAGAAGAGTAACTATCAAAGCAGCATGGACAAAAGTAAAATAAGTGTTGTCACAAGTGGATAAGATTCATAAAATGGTCATTTTCAAACAAGTGAGCATTTCCAAACTACATTTTTTTTTTTACTTTATAGACCCGTTTAGTTCGCTGATTCGAATTTTTAATTCGAGTTGAGATGTGACTTTATATGAGAATTTTTTACCGTAGCAAAAAAAATAGATATAATTATTTCTGAGAGCTTTTTATTACAACAAAACTCAAATTATAAATTTGAATTACTGAAATAAACAGGGCTGTATTTATGGATACACTTGCATCGTCACTTACGATCAAGTGTTCTTTATTTATTTATTTATTTTTTCATTTTTTCCCCAATCAAATGTCTTCTTTAACCTATAATATTTTGCGAATACCGTTTACTATAAATAATCAATTTTAAAGAGCATCTCTCAAAATTGCAATAGTTTAAATTTCATGGTATAATTTTTTGAACGGCCTTACAATATAGGGGCACATGCAAATGCAAATACACCAAGCATAAATTCTTGAATTGGTTTTTGTATTGTCGTTAACCTAAATATCGCCTCTCTTCCTTCTCTCTCCCATCACTTCACCGAGTCTGATAACCCCGAAACAATTGCAGAGAGAAAGTCGAGGGACGTATCAAGCAACAATATATCTCAATTTCAGCACCAATCAGGTAATTTTTTTTTTTCGCCATCTTTATCATCCAATGCTTCGTTTAGTTTTCAATAAACTTTCGCGTGCCAACTCCAGAGCTTCACAGTTTGGCCATGGCTCCTGTTTATCGAATTACTTTCTTAGAACCATGTCAGAAATGTCTAAAAACAACGACCCACATTCTTTTACGGTCTGTTATCTGCAAAAATCATGTGGGTTGTCCGAACAGTCTGCCATTTCAGCTTCCAAGAAGCTTTTGATTGAAACCCCAGAAAAAGCTGATTCAGTTCTTAAGCTTATGAGAACTCACGGATTAACTCAGACCCACATTGCAAATATAATAGCTAATCGTCCCGGATTGCTTTTAGCGGACTTAGAAGGTAAACTTAGGCCTAATATGGAGTTGCTTAGATCTTTGGGGATTTCTGGTACTAGCCTAGGGAAAATGCTTAGCAAAGAGTTGCGTTTTCTCGAATATGATGATTTACTCGAAACCATGGAGTTCTTTAGAGCTCAGCGTTTTAGTGATGAACAAATAACTATGATGCTTAAGAAGCTTCCATCGTTGTTTCTCCCCGCGAAAAGAAATCTTAAGCCAAAGTTGGAGTTTTTCAGATCTTTGGGCCTGACTGATGAGGATGTTTTGAAGATTTTGTCCTCGGAGCCTTATATTCTAGAAAGGAGCCTGGAGAAACAAATCATTCCTTCTATTCAAGTGCTTAGGCGGGTTCTTGGGACGGACTTAAATATGCAAAAGACTATAAAAGCGTGCTACAGTATACTTGAATACGATTTGGAAGAGACGCTTGAGCGCAACATATCAACGTTGAAGAGCCATGGTGTTCCCCACTCATGGATCTTGAGGATCTTCATGATCCAACCCAGAACACTGCTTGCAAGGCATCATCGGTTTGAGGAGGTTGTCAAAGAAGTTGTGAAATTGGGGTTTAATCCAAATTCTATTCTCTTTGTTTTGGCCATTCGTTCCATTGTAACGGTGGGTAAGACTCTTTGGGAGCAGAAATTGGAATCTTACAAAAGTTTCGGTTTGTCAAGGGATCAGGTCTATTCGGCATTCAAATCGCAACCTATGTTTATGCTTGTTTCAGAGAAGAAGATCAAGAAATTGATGCATTTCTTCATTCACAAATTGAACATAGAACCTTCAATCATTTCAAAGAATCCAGGACTACTACTATTTAGTCTGGAGAAGAGATTCATTCCAAGGATTTCTGTTCTACAACTTCTGATGTCAAAAGGTTTTGTTAAAGAAGATATAAGCATTATTCCCTATCTCAGAATGACTGAGAAGAAGTTCAAGGAGAATATCATGTCGGTATATGAGAAATCGCTTCCTGATGTTGTTAAGGCATACCAAGGCAAGATAGAGTTTCGAGGGTTTCCTGCTATTTTGAAGACATAATGAGTATGATGCCATTGATAATAAGATTAGCAAAGATGCTGAGAGTTGAAGTTGAGTTCATCATCTACCGCCGCAGGCTACTTATCATAATTTTGGATGGATAAGTGGAAGGCTACTTGAGAATAGCTTTCCAGGATATTGCAACATTAGCACTAAGACGAGATCCCTGAGTAAGTTTACTTGTAAGCTTCTTTTAATGGTGGTGCAACGTATGGTCTGCCAAAACTTATGTAAGTTCTCACATTGATTTTGAGCAGTTTATCATTCTTGCAATCAATCATCACGAGTTTTATCTTTTGTTCCTGTTTTTGTCTCTGATTGAGCGACCGTTCTGCTTGTGTTGTTCTCGTTCCTTACATTTAACCTATAATCTAGTTGTTATTTTTCCCCTAAATTTTTTCGAGAATTTTCCACCTACCTTAATTTAATTATTTTTTATGATTCTGAATGAAGATTATTATTTGGTTGGCATGAAGTGAATAACGGGGGGTTCATCTCTCTAAGGCACTGCAAGTCCTTTGTCTTTTCATATGGTTGGTAGAGCGGTACTTAATATATGCAGTGTTCTTCGCCCTTTCATTAATTGGCCTTTGTTAAGTTTTGAGTTAGATTTAACATTTTTTATCCATTTCCTTCTCACCTACTCAAAAAACTCGGACTCACATCTCCTGTCCAATTTTAGTATCCTAATTGGTATCTAACTAATCATATTATGCCACGACGTGCAAAAAAATTGAACTGATTTTTAACTAACTCTTTTGTGCTTATCCTGAGATGATGTGGTGTGATTTGATTGGTTAGGCACTATTGAGACACTAAAAATTGGACAGAGGATCTGGATCCAAAAAACTCACACCCTATGTACAATATGTGATTTGCCACCTATTTTAGAGGCACATTTATGTTCAAATTCATGTTAGCTCTGCTTTCTTTTGTGGGCTCTCGTATTATATCCAAACATTTCTGGACTTGTAAAGATCACTCACTCTAGCTTTTGATTAAGCATATGACTTACCGAGTGTTTGTAACATATTTAATGAGGTTGTGTCCATTATTGCACCAAGTAAAATATTCTTCCCACATTTCCAATGCTAGTGATAATGTCAATATTACACTTGCCACAAAAACATATAAACATAATATTTTGATACGTTGTAAAGTCGACACATCAACCAATGTGTGATGAGTGTCAAAATTTGGCATATGATACGTCTTGGCGGTTCTCTCACTTAAATATGTCAAACTTAACATTGTGTTAGATATGGTCTAATTTAGTTGGTGAATAGTTGATTCGGTACCAAATTCACGAGGGAGAGAAAATACTAATGTTGAAGATCGATTTGAACACCAAAGGCACATGCGCCAACAAGATGAGGAAACATAAAAAAGGGTAAGTTGTTCGGTCTTAGATCGTATGAGGAAAGTTATAAGTAAAGGTTTAGGGTTAATCTCATAAATAGTCTTTGAAATTTACTTTCAATCTCACTTTAATCTATGACTTTTAAAACGTTCCACAATTAGTCTCTAAGATTTTATTCCGTTGCACTTTTGATTATTCTGTTAACAAGTGTTAAATATTTGAAGAATCTGTATAAATTAGGAATGAAAACTGAAAACAACTAGATTTTAGGGATTATATGTAGAAATTAATTTTTAATTTTTGTATTGTATCAGTATCTAAACTTTAGATGTTTCTAACTTTAATCTCTAATTTTACAGATTTCGTTGAATATTTAATACTTACTTAACAAAAGGTCTAAAATTAAAATAAAGTATTTTAAAGATTAACTGTGAAACATTTTAAAAGTGAGAGACCAAAATAGAATTTAGGTCTAACTTCAAGGGAGTAACCCAAAGGTTTTATAAGCGAGAGGCAATATCCCCTAATGATGATATGGGATCTTTTGGGGGTAAAACACCTAAGAAGAAAACCATTCGTAACGAACCATTCAAACAACTATCCAAATAACTATCTTAGCTTTTAATATTTTAAGGTCAAGAATTTGAATTCCCGAAATTGAATATTATAAAAATGAAGAAAATACGGATGGGCTTGATATTGGGCTTTTAGACGATTGTACTCGGGGAAAGTTTCAAGTTTCATCATTTTGTTAATTTAAATTTTTAATTTAAGTTGAGATGTGATTTTATGTGAAAATTTTTTACTATAGTAAAAAAGTTAGATGTGATTGTTTGTGAGAGCTTTTTACTGTAGCAAAACTCAAATTCTAAACTCGAATTAGTGAAATGAACGGGATCACTATAAAAAATAATTTGTAAAATACGAAGGGATAACTTATAGATTATAAAAAATAATATGTAAATTATTAGTCACATAAGATAAATTTAATAACAGTGATAAAAATAAATAGTGTTATTTTATTGATGATATTTTTAAAAAATTTTCTTTTGTACTTAATTACATAAATGGGTTATATAAGAAGTAATTGCTAAAGTTATCCTTAAAGTATATGAGTCTGGATTTTTATCTTTTATCTTTTATTAATATTCTTTTAACTAATATAGTTATTTGATTAAAAAGAATATTAATTAAGAGTAAAGAATAAAAATCTAAACTTATGCACTCTAAGAGATATTTGTCTCATTTTCTCTTATACAAAATGATCACTTCTAAACTCTATGTTTAGGATATATTTCTAATTTAACAATATTATCTATTTTTTCTGTTTATTACATCATTATTGAGATAATATCATTTCATATATGTAGGTGGTTGTGAATTTGTATCCATAATTTTTATGGTGGTTAATAAAAAATGCAAATGTCATTAGGGGACTCACGGGACTTGAGTAATATATCACAACTTATAGACATTCTTTTTTCATTTCCCTTAACTCTAATTATAAATCATACCTTATATTTTGGATTGTATCAACTTATATCTTTAATTTTAAAAATTAAATTCATGCTAAATCTTAGCTTTTGTCAGTCAACGTTTAATTTTAAGTGTGCAAAAAACTGTCCTTCACATTTTTGAATTTTTAGTTTTTCTTATTCTTTAATGTCGTTAACATTTTTGATTTATTTTTCTTTTAGGACATTTAGAACCTGTGTGCTTGTTTAGAACCGTTTTTGAAAACGATTTTCACATATTTCGAGAAGTAAAAAATGAAAATAAAAATAAAATGACATTTGTTTAGCAAATGTTTTGAAAATGAAAATAGTGAGAATGAGTTTTGTGAAAAAATTAGAAAACAATTGAAAGTTATTTTCATTTTTTTGATTTTATTTTTTAATACTTATCAATAATATTATAATATATTAATTAATAAATAAGATTTCACTTTTTATTATACTTAAAACAATCTCTTAAAAAACTAACCAAACGCAATTTCAAAATTGGTCTCAAAATGATTCTCAAAATAATCTCATTTTTACTTTTTATTAAAAATAAAATCATTTTAAAACTAATTATAAACGCACCTTATATTTTTTATAGTTAGAATCACAACTCAAACTTTTCACTACAATATTTTTTCTCACATAAATTATTTTTTAACTTAAATTCTCAACTTAAACTCTCAAAAAGAACTAACCCTTTAAGTTTTTCTTTCTTTTTTTTTTTTTTTGTCGAAAGTAACTTTTGATCGATGAATTGAGCCTAAATTTTAAATTAAACTATAAAAGTATATAAACTAAAATACAATATTTGACATTTTTTTAATAAGCTGAGTATGTAGGGCAAAAAATTTATAATAAAAAACCTTACATAAATTGCCCTCGGCCAAAAATTCCGGCAGCCGGCTCCCAGTTCACTCATGACTCACCGAGTCTCATAAACAATCAAAAGAATTGCAGAGAGAGAGAGAGAGAGAGCTTTAGCTGAAGGCCATTTCAAGTTACAACTTCAAATTTCAGCACTGATCGGTATTTTTTTTTTTTGCCCCCCTTTTATCATCCAATGCTTCGTTTAGTTTTCAGTAAACTTTCGCATGCCAACTCCAGAGCTTCACAGTCTGGCCATGGCTTCTGTTTATCGAATTACTTTCGTAGACCCATGTCAGAAATGTCTAAAAACACAGACCCACATTCGTTTACTGTCTCTTACCTCCAAAAATCAGGTGGGTTGTCCGAAAAATCTGCCATTTCTGCTTCCCAGAAGCTTTTGATTGAAACCCCAGAGAAAGCTGATTCAGTTCTTGAGCTAATGAGAACTCATGGCCTAACTCAGACCCACATTGCAAATATAATAGGTAATCGTCCTGGATTGCTTTTGGCTGACTTAGAAGGTAATCTTAGGCCTAATATGGAGTTGCTTAAATCTTTTGGGGTTTCTGGTAATATCCTGGGAAAAATGCTTAGCAAAGAGTCACGTTTTCTTGAACGTGATTTACTCGGAACAGTGGAGTTCTTTAGAGCTCAGCGTTTTAGTGATGAACAAATAACTAGTATGCTTAAGAAGCGTCCAAAGTTGTTTACGTTTAATGTGAACACCAATTTTAGGCCAAAGTTAGAGTTTTTCAGATCTTTGGGCCTTACAGATGAGGATGTTGCCAAGATTCTCTCCTGGGAGCCTTCTATTCTAGAGAGGAGCTTGGAAAAACAAATCATTCCTTCTGTTCAAGTGTTTAGGCGGGTTCTTGGGACGGGTTTCGATGTGCTAAAGGCTATAAAATCCTTCTACTTCATACTTGAGTATGATTTGGAAAATACGCTTGTGCCAAACGTATCAACATTGAAGAGCCATGGTGTTTCCGAGACATTAATCTTGAAGATGTTCATGATGCAACCCAGATCACTGCTTTTAAATCCTTGTCGGTTTAGTGAGGTTCTCGCCGAAGTTGTTAAATTAGAGTTTGATCCAAATAATCTGCTCTTTGTGTTAGCGGTTCGTGTCATGGCAACGGTGAGTAAGACGCTCTGGGAGCAGAAGTTGGAATCTTTTATAAGTTTTGGTTTGTCGAGAGATGAGGTCTATCTGGCGTTCAGACTGCACCCCTTGTGTATGCTTGTTTCAGAGAAGAAGATCAAAAAATTGATGAATTTCTTCACTCACAAATTGAACATAGAACCTTCAATCATTTCAAGACGTCCACGCATTTTGCGGTATAGTTTGGAGAAGAGAATCATTCCAAGGAGTTCTATGTTGCAACTTCTGATGTCCAAAGGTCTTATAAAGGAAGATTTTACTATGATCAGCCTTCTTAGTTATCTTGCAATGAATGAGAAGAACTTCATGGCAAGGTGGGTGAGGAAGTATCAGAACGTGCTTCCTGATGTTGTTAAGGCACACAGAGGCGAGATAGAATTTCGAGGACTCCCTGTTATCTTAGGGGCATAATCACTGTGTTCTCGTTGAATTAAAGATCATCGACGTTCAAAGTCTCCTCAACAGCCTGCTCATTTTCATGAGATTGTGCGGATTGGTGGAAGGCAACGAGAGAAAAGGTTGCCTGGATTTACAGCAGTATCTCTATTGCAGACTTCAGATTATTGTGGTACGGTACATGGTCTTCTGAGCCATCAATTTTGATGTTGTGAATGCATTTGAGGTTTTATTATCAAATTGGACTGAGGAATTGTAATCATCTTCATCTTCATCCTTTTTTTTTCTGTTCTAAGACCGAGGATCCGTTTCGTTTTTGTTATTCTCATTGATTTTTTTTTTTTTTTTTCACTATAATCTTATGACTCCCTTAATTTTGAGTCTTGAGAAACTTTTTTTTTTGTTTTTTAAATAACTTTCGTTTTAATCCCCAATAGAAAATGTTGTTCTTAGTGCCCTATTGATATTGTCATCAGATTCCTAGCTGCATGGACTATGGAGTAACACCAATTCAATTGTTTGATGGAGATTATTATATGGTGGATATGACTAACGGCCTCATCATAAAAGAGACTGCAATTTCTTAATCTTTACCATATTTCATACATTTGAGATGTACTTGATTTTTGTTTAATATTCTTGAGATAGTAATTGATTGGTGCATTTGTTGCCTTGTTATTAGATTGTATTTCTTGGCCGCTCAGATGGAATGAGTTATTTGTCTTACGGAACTGCCAAAAGGTTCATTCCTATAACCTCTAGTTTTCTGAGAGTTAACGGCTTAGTTTGTTAGTGCTGTAAATTTTAAAAAAATTATTTTTAGTTGTGTTGAAGGAATAAGTTATTATAAAAAGTAATTGAGTGTTTGATAAATTATAATTATAATAGCTGTGCTGGTTTTAAAATCAGTGTAATAACGTTTCATAAATTATGAGGTTGAATTGCTATAGATAGTTAAAAATTATGATTATATTATATTATATTATATTATAATATAATATATATATATAATTACAATGTAATATATATTTATTATAATACAAAATAACTATTATTATATAATTATGATATAGAATATAACAATATTATTAAAATAATACTTGAAATAATTAAAAATAACGACTATATTATATTATACTATAATATAATATATATATATATATAATTATTGTTACTCCCCAAAATAGGGGTTAGTGACGTGAATGCTCGTTTAGAAGTTAAACATGATTAGGAAAGTAATTAGACATTTAGAAACATAATAATTAAAATCAAAAGTAAACTATTAAAGAAATTTTTAAACAAGCCTCACATTTTATTAAAATTAAATTACAAGAAAGTGATGGGGGACTTCCACACTTTTGGATAAAAGAGGTTTAAAGCCGAGCCTCTGGCATCATTCAAGACTTCACCCACAGGATATACAATATTGTACATACATGAACATGCAATTAACATTACAGACATCAACCACAGTCTAGAAACTTAAGGTTTAAAGTTTCAGAATTTACAATCCTTGTATTTGTACACAAGGATGAAGAAGTGCAATGTTCTCACTTGATTGGATGGTAGCGACTAACTTAGCTACTCAGCACTGCTCCTAGCGTCGCCTGGGAGGAGTTTAATATTTATAGTAAAACATGAGCGGAAAGTCCAGTAGGATGTATTTTGAAATAAACTTTATAAACAAGTAAATAAATGAATAAGTAAATAAAGATATTAAGTTCCAACACAACAGCTAGAACCTCACATCTTTTTTCTGAAAAGAAATATAAACTAAAAATTATGTATTACAGGCATCATCAAGTAATTTATACTATGATAAATTACTTACACAACTACAAGCACAACCCTTATCACCACTGTAGTGGCCCGGTCCGGGTTTCGGATTCTGCCACCAAGGATACACTCTCCATATCCTATCTAGACCATAGCGGGTTTATCAATTCGCAAGATATCTTATCTTAAGAAATCACTCATTAAACTTCTGAAATAGTTCATTAGAATTCCAATAGCTAAAATCAAGCTATTGTGTTAAAACGCTTTTCTTTCGCAAACATGTCATTTCTATAAAACATTTGCAAGGCTAAAAACTTTTTAAAACAGGCTATCAAAGAAAATGACAAGAAATTCTACCTGTCAGTTGCCAAACTTGTGGCTAGCCTCTTGTTACTTTAGCTTTCGCTTCCTTCAAAGCCTTAATATTCGATTTTTCCCACTAGTTTTATTGCAAAAGTAATGTCTTAGGATACATTTATCATTCCTAAAATGAATTTAGCTTAATCACGTCTAATTGTTTCCTATTAGTGTGTCTTGACTCAAATCCAAGTTTCACAAATGACTTTATAATTCAGTTTGAGAGTTCTTTAAAAATTAAAATCCAATTCATGGGTTTGGTTTCCTATTTAATTTAAGCTTAAAAATAAGTTTTTAAATAAATTTCGGCAGCATGCTGGCATAAATAAGAAAAATGTCAAACTTACAATTCAAGTTCAATTTCAAAATAAATTCTCCAGAAATCATCGTTTCCAATCAATTCAACTAGTCCAATAACTGAAAACCCTCAAATTTAATTTAATTCTAACAATAATTGCTCAAATCCAAATCCTAACTTAAAATTATTCAGATCTAATGAAAATTTTAAATTCTCAAATCAATAACTCAAATTTAAGTGTGAATTTTTAAAAAATCTTTACTTCAAAGTAATTGAAGCGCATTTCTCTCTATTTCTCTAATTTTTGTTTTTTTTTCTTTTCTTTTTCCTTTCCTTCTTTCCCTCCCGTAGCTTTTCTCTCTCTCTCTTTCTTTCTTTCCTTTTTCTTTTCTCTCTCTCTCCTCTGGTTATTCCACGGCAGCCATCTCTCTCTTTCTCTCCCTTTTTCTTCCGCGCCGGATCTTCCTCTCATATATAATTACAATATAATGTATATTTATTATTATATTTTATATAATACAATAAAATTATTATTAAATAACATTATAATATAGAATATAATAAATATTATTAAAATGGTTAATATAATTATAATATTATAAGACACATTATAATATTACATAAAAAATAATAATATTAGAATTATAAAATTATATTTATATTTATATTATTATTAATATAATAAAATAT